ACGTGGCTGTAGCCTTGTGTGCCTGCTCCAAAGCGCTCTGGCCCAATGTCTTCGAGTTGCTGCGCGCCCTGGCTAAGTTCCAGCTTGCTGCGCGCACCGCGTATGATTTGCTTGGCCTCCAATCACCAGGAAAGATGCAAACCTTTAATCTACGAGCAGATCAGATCTGACCCCTGGCCGCTTTCATCAGCACCCTTTTCCTGTGCTGGGGGGTAGGGGGGGCCCTCGCCCTGCCCCTATGCAGAAAAGGTCTGAATGCCGCAATGCACGCTTGTACAGAAGCGTGGCAATGGTGGTCGTCCCTGCAGCTGCTGCAGAGCCTTGGTTACAGGTTCAGACTTGGGCCGGTGCTTGAAAGCTGCCTAGAAGCACAAGCTGAGGACGTGTTTGCCGAATTGCGTAACCTTCAACTCCGCCATCAGTGTTGCTCGCTGCAAGCGCTGGTGTGCCACATGAAGCTGTGTGTTGCTTGTGAATCTCGGCAATGCTTGCTAGGCAAGTGCACTGAACACAACCTTCACTGAAAGGAGAAAAAGCAGCAACAGTAGAAACCAATTCGTTGACCAAGCCTGCACAACAGAAAGTGTTCTTTCACCAAGCCGTCCCTACCCACCGGGAATCTGTGGTTCATGGAGCTGTGCAGAAGGCGTGGGTGCAACGCCCCTCGCAATAAAACATCGCACAACCAATGCTGAATTGATACCAATACTCAGATGTAAAAGCGACGTTTAAGAATGGACAGCCGCTGGTAAGGTTACTACTGCAACTAGACAAGGAGGCATGGGAGACGCCCCAAGCCCTTGTCAAAATTCAACCTGTCTGCCCGACTTGCATGTCCTGGTTTTGCTTGTAAGTTCTGCCAGCAGCTAGCAGTGGACCTTCGAGAGAAATGCAAGCAAGCTCTTGCAAGCAATTTGTTCATGCCAGTACGGATAGGTGCTGCAGCTTCTAAGAGTACGATCTCCTGTCAGCCTCTCCTAATTCGCAACCAAAAGGCTTTCGACTTGGGACGACAGTGGCCAGCAGGAGTCAAGTTCTTGAACAGGCAAGCCGGTAAGCGGAAGGGAAGGCAAGTTTCTTGATTCTCAGAGCCGGCAGGATGATGAAGCTACGGTTGCCCAACGAGAGAAGCTACGGTGAGCTTAGAAGATTTGCAGGTTTCTGAGATCTGGCAGGGCTGGACTTAGAGCAGTCCACTTCTTGAGGCGCTTTGGTCAGCTGTTGCGGCCGGTCCAGCGAGTGGGGCTTGGCTTTGCAGCTGTGCAGGACAGCCGCATTCTCCGTTGGTGTGCACTGTACACATTGCAGTAGTTGCCTGAAGTTGCCTCTTGCAGGAGCGCCGAGATCAAGCCACCCTGCTGCACGAAGCCGCTGGAAGTCATGTCGTGACGAGCCGATGGTTTGAGTACTTTGAGCTTGGGCAGGCTGAATCCCATCACTCTCAATGCAGCGACAACGGCATGTGAGAAGGATCCCCGCATTGTTGCAGCAACTCACGTGAGACATTCTCTTCTCGCCTTTGGTCAGGCTTCCCAATGGTTATCTGCACTTCGCCTGCTAGGCCTTGTACCGGTCTGGGCCCATGTGTGTAGATTGAGGGAGTCAACAATGTAGCCGCAAAGCTTAGGATGTCGTTCGTGCATCCCTCAGTGCCTTGAGGGTAGAACTCGCTGTAGCGCACGCATCTTCGTCCATCAGTGAGGCTGCAACGCTGCAATCAGTGCCTGTGAAAAGTCGGGGCAGTGGCACAGAGCCCTTATTCTACTTGGATCTCAGGCAAGGAGGACAAAGTAGTCCGACATGATGCGTGTAGTCCATCATGCTTCATCAGGCAGCTGATGTGATTGCCTTCAGCGCCGCCATCAGTCACCTGGCTTCAGCAGGCACCATTGAGGCCATTGCGCAGACAAATCCGCCCGCCATGCAGGTGCGGCAGGACGGTGCCATCATTGGCCCAAGGTGCTCCAGTTGCTGGAAGGGATGTCACCGCATCTCTGCCGCAAAATTGTGGTGGTGAACCTCTTCTTGGCTGTGCCGGCAAGTCGCACCGGAGGCATGTGCAGCCCAATTCAGCATCTTGGATGGCACAGGGTATTCTGAAATGGCCCCGCAATCGCTGCTTTTGCAGGTGACCTGCGGTGCAGCCAGCAGTGCGTGCAAGCAGGGGGGCCGATGGCAGATGGCACTTTGGCTGTCGCTTGGATATGAAGCGAAAGCAACGTTGAGAAGCTTCTCCCGGCCCGCCCCGTGCTGCAATCCCAGGTCTGCTCCGCTGTCAGGGCCACGCGAGCGGTCCTCACCGGTGTGCGAGCTGGCATGGAGGCGCTTGGGACTGCATCATGACGACTTGTACATGCTGAGGAACAAGGCTTACGCAAGTGCTGCCAAGTTGCAGGATGGCGCAGTCCAACGAAAGGCCAGCATCACCGACAGGTTGAAAGTTTGCACACGCTCATGTGCCCCAATGTTTGAAAGGTAAAGTCCTTCGCAAGTCTGGGCTCAAGTCATGGCTGCTCGCCAAAAGTGACTGTGCCAATGAACACCGACTCGCTTTGTGTCCTCACATCCGGCTGCTTAGCAATCGCTCACGTGTGGCTGCCCGCACCCCGCTGCGGCCGTCATCTCCCTGCTGTGCCGGCCTCAGGCTGCCAAGTCAAGTTACCGTTGCACGTTTAAACATTTTAACCTGGCTGTGTTCCGCGGAGGTTGCGTTTGCGCTTCTCTGTGCCTGGCAGCTGAACGACAGGCTTGCAGCCTTCATTCTCTGCTGGGAGCGTGCCGCATGGATGACCAGCCTTGTGCATCTACTGGACCCAGAGCCTCTGCATGCTACTCACTGCTACTCCAAACATGTCAGCATACTGCACAGAGTTGTTGTGGAGTTCTCCTGAGCTCAGCCCCACCCAAGGAGTCGGTTGAAACGGCGTGCCTGGAAGTCTGGTGGTCTCTGACGCTGCTGTTGATGGAAAGGTTGTTTCCAATCAGGTTGTTGCACGACTTGCTGCCGGTGATCCTCCTACTGAGACAGTGCAGAAGCTACCACACTGCAGATGCAGGCATGTTGCCGCCGTTGCCATTGCAGGAGTTGGCCTGCCACCTCGGCATGTCTGAGGCAAAGTTACAGTGCCGACTATGATGTCACCAAACCTGGCAACATGGAACTTGGTGATGGGGAAGGGGTTGTGCAACGTCGCGAACGCGGACGTTGATACGCATGGAATTCACTGGAAGGAGGTCTGCTAGTGGCACGAAAGCCCACAGAAAGACCATCTGAGTTAATGCTTGCTTGCATGACGAGCATCTTTAAGACTCCCAACGTTGTAGTGACATTGTCGTGAGCAGAACCAACAGCAGCTCGGAAAAACTGAAGGGTCCGGTAGTTGCTGCCGCGCATGCGCGCATGCCTTAGAGCCTTAGGGCAATGGCTCTGCCATGTCATTGCTTCAATCTGACATCAATCTGACAAAGCAGGAACAGACAGCACATCGCCCGGCTGGTGGTGCAGGTGGCATTTCCTCGCATGCTTGGACTTTCGTGCAATGTGATTCCCGGCAGGCCAGAGGGGTGCCACTTGCGCAGCTGCGGTCGGACGAGCTTGCAGTTCTGGCTACTTGGTTTCTACGAATCATGTCAGGTTTCTGCTTTCATCACCTCCTTTCAGCATCAAGCAAGAAGCAGCCCAGGTGTGGAGTTTTGCTGCTCTCTCTGTGGCCGACTACGCGGTGGACCGTGCTGTCGAGGCCGCCCAGCACCGTCTGGATCATTTTCGAATGGCCGACTTGGCCAGGCTGGGCTCAGACATGCTCAAATAACATGGACCGTTTCAGAACTTGGACTGAGGTTGTCCTGGTCACTGGTGAACATGGAGAAGGATTCCACGCTGGATAGTCTCCAGGAGGCAAGTGAAGTGTAGAATATTCAAGTCCCTACTGTGATTGTAGGGGCCCTTGTTGCGATTGGGGTCTGTCGCAGGAGTTTCTGCGCCACTTGCATCGTGCAGACGTTGATGCGGACAGAGCCACGTCTATGCTGACCCTCCTGTGGTCCACTTGGCATGTTTACACGATTGTACTGGTACAGCTGAGACAACAGTAGCCTTGACGAGAAGGACGGCAATGACAGCAGCCAATGGTCCCAGTGATCGGGAGGGAGAGTGAGACTAACATTCAGAAGAGTGAACAGCAACCGAAATGAAAAACAACAGCTGCAGCACCATTCATCACTAATCTAAACGCTCATGTGGTGCATGACCGACGACCGGCCAATCATGACTTTACTTGCATTTGGCGCTGATGCTGGCACAGATCCTGATGTTAGACTATGTTGATACACGGTAAGGATACAAATGATCCCAGTGCTGACAGCTCCTGCTTGGCACGCCTGCGTGATTGATGGAGTCCTTGGTGCCCAGGGCTTTGATTGTAGCAGAGCAGGATCCATCTGTCATGAAGCCAGGAGTGCCTCTCTGGTGGGTGTCTGGGCATGGTTGGCGCCTGGCAGTCAGCTATCACTTGATCTCAGCCGGTGAGGACGCCTGCGCCGGCAGACTGCGCTATCTGTTCAAGGCCGCTGCTTGATGTGATGGCTCTGGTTCGGGTGCATAGCTGGAAGTGGTCCTTAAAGTGGCTGCAGGCCTATAAATCAAGACTTTCTTCCCTCCAGGTTCATTGGTGCGTTTCGCGGAGCAGTTTGACGAGCAGAGTGTGCCCAATCTGGTGGATCCTGTTGCAGCTGCTGCTTCGGAAGGAGTCTTCAAGAGAACGCTCGTTTAGACTGCTTTCATCACAAGTGCAGCTCCTCATCATTCTGGAAGGCGCTTGCGGTGACCTGTATCGCGTGGTTGTACACTGACTAGGACTCATGCGGGAGCCGCATCTTCTGCTCTCATTACCGGACCTGGCTGTGGTGCAGAAGCCTCCGCAATGGCAGGCGAGAGGTCCGGACAAGCAAGACCAAAGCCATTCACTGTTTCGGAGGTGGATGATGGTTCTCCACCTGCAATGGATGAGCCGGAGAGCCTCGACTCAGCAATGCCAGAACTTGGGCAGTGTTGCTTGATTTGCTTGGAGCATCTTTCCGAGGAGGGGGCTGCTCTCAGACTATCTCAAGGCCGGCCTCGCAGCCTCCAAGGTCTTGAGTCTTGATGTTGCAACATTTGCAACATCGAGAACCGTTTCAAACCAGGAGAACTGACACGTAAGGCGGACACTTTTTCTTTGTGCCCTCTAAAGTGCGCAGTGCATATTGTGCAGTCACTTGGGATTCGCGACTGCTGGTTATGGCTAGCTGGTTGACATATGCCAATCAATCCCATGGCTCGGAAAGCGTGTCTGGAATGTGCAAGAGCTACCCTAGCAGTATTTTGTACACCTACCACTGAGACCGTGGTATGTTCAAGATCTTGACTTGGTGCACTTTCTTGCCAAGTTCTGGCTTTTTGACACCTCAAACGGCCTGAATCCTACTCAAATCC